CACAGGGTAGTAATCAGGGAATGGGCAACAGGAGGGAGAAATTGGACTATACGAGATAGGGGAGCAGTAGAACTGAACACACTCACATGAGACACAGACCTTCACAATAAAACAGGAAACAAGAAACCACTAAACAAAGACGCAGACAGAGAGGCAGACAGAATATAACACATGCAACTCAAACAATACATGAAACAACAAATCCTTAAACACGGATAAACAAAAAACATGGAACTCTAATAATAATAATCATCATAGCATCAGAGAAACAAAACAATCATTCAAAAATAAACCAAAACATAAGAACTCAAAATGCTGGGTCGAACCTGACCCAGAACCGTGACAGTAACTTTTCCATCAGTGTCTTGTATTTCATTGAAATGTGCAGTTTGCTACAACCAGAGGTGGTTTCTTTCTTTGTGGTACATAGTAAGTTTGTCTCTTTTAAGCTTTTATGTGTGAAACTATATAAACAACATTAGAAATCCTAAATGTAACACATTATACAAGTATATCACATGAAAACACAGTAGCATGACTACAAATCTGAAATGGAACAAATCAAACTTTAAATTAGTTTATTTAATGATGATCTGTTATTTCTTATCTATTTCAGGCCTCGTCGCATTCTCGTTAAATGTGCAGGAAGATGTTGCCATGATGTCATCAGAAGATATCTATAATTAACACAATTCAAAATGTATTGTATGTTTTCCACATACTAGCGAATCTACTCAGATTAGTCATCCTCTGTGACATCATCCAATAATAACTTCCAGGCTCTCAACGGTATTCTCAGTCGGTGAAATCACCGCTTTTCCCCGACTTCATTTTAATCACTAGTTACACATACACAAAAAAAGACTGTATGATTAAAAGCACCTCATATGTTTGACTGTAATAAATACATTTATTACCTATCATTTCTAAACCTTGTAATAAGATCACATAAATATTAGAGCCAATATAGAATTTAAAGACTGTTACTGATATTTGATGTTTTAAAAATCTGATATATTGTCCAACATATCAACATACGACTACTATACTAATACTACTACAATATACTACACAAGAAATGACTTTAATGTTAGTCGTTATTTATGAATACAGTTTAAAAATAATCTTGTTTTATTGTCACAACAAGTTGGGGATTATACATGTGCTGCCCGCCTGATGCACTCAGATCCACTGGTTGCTGGTTGTTGTTATGATGTTGCAGAGAACTCTGTTGGACAAACTATGCAACATTAACAGTTATAACATGGATGAAGGTTCTCTCGTCTCTTCTTCACTTTTTACATTTTCATTTCTTGACTGCTATAAATGCTGATTCTGACATATCAGCAAATCGCTAATTTCACTTGGGAAACAAGTATGTAAGTGGATCTTTAGCATTGTATTTATATTCTGTATATTAGTTGTTGACACTGGTGGAAACCACTAGTTCCCCCCCCCCCCCCCTCTACTCCTGTGCCCTGCGAGTAAACAAATGCGTCGCGCCTGCACATGTCAATACAACACGGTAACTTAGACCCAAACACAATTAGCGAGCAAATGGGCCCAAAGGCAGAGTATTTTGGGGTTGATAGCGCGTCCTCCTTCAACCCTTATAAGCCAAACACCTGACACTTTAAGCTGTAGTACAGGAACAACAGTCTCCGTGTCAAATTAAAGGGACATCCCCCGCTCACCTGCTCCCTCAATACACTCCGCAATTAGATAACCAGCTTAGAAACGCTGCTCTCCTCGTTTAATCTCCAAAGCTTTCATTAGCATCTTTAAAGTAGCATTCTGGTTCACCAAAAGAAAAAAAAAGCGTGTCTCCTTAAAGTGCTGAGAGCTAGAGAGGCTGATAATTTGGCCGCATTTTGTTTTTTACACGCTTACCTTTCTAACTCTTTTCTTGACGATTGATTCCACTGCAAACACTTGCTCTCCGATTGCTGACAGCTCCATCTCTTCGCACGCCGCCGTCCGCTGGCTTTTAACTGTCAAAGTAACGTCCCTCTCCCCGACAAACTAAGCTAACGTTAACTGCGTATGACAGCCCTCCCTCGGATACGTCTTCTTCCACGCGTGTCTCCTTCGGCTGCCTCGTTTTCCTGAAAGTTTAAAGGCCCATTTATCCAGAGCGACTTCCTTTTGCTGGCTCTTTCCATGCGTCCAGTGACTTTACAAAATCTGCGACACATCTGCACACCGCTTCGCGCGCGCCCGCTCTGGCCCAAAGCGCGTTTCCGGCGCGCGCCACCAGCTTCCCCATCATCCTTATTATGCAGCGTGTATACGGATACCAAAGACGGTGATAGTACTTTCCTCCTCTGCTTCACTTAAAGCAGCAGCACCGTAGTATAAACAGTCATTCTTTTATTATAATATTTATGATATAATATCGTTATTACATGTATGGAAGCTGCTCATTTTTAAGTATGCACTTAAAGTAAGCCAGCTTTCAAAGGGTTAGTACCTGAGGTGTAGAGGAATAAACGAACATTGGCTTGGATTTCTTGAATCTGTACTTTTATTGTGACATATCTGATCACAGAATTATGACCTTGATCTTGGTGAGAGGGTCCTTTTAGTGTTTGGTGGAACAACTCAGGTGTCTAACGTGTAAATAGGGGGCCCAACCAAACTTTGCTTTTATGCAGGTCTGGGCTTGCAAAGCAAATGTTTAATGTTTAACTGTAAACCTTCATGTTCTTCATGTTGGAGAGGAGGTAGGGATACAGCTGTCAGATGCAGTTATCATTTTTTTAAACAACATTATTGTTAGGATGCCTGGGTCGTTGACCCAAGGTTTTTGAGTTTATTATTTATTATTTCCAGTCTTTGGTTTTTTTTTAGTTCTGTCTTATGGTTTATGTCTCTGTCTTCTCTAGTTGCTCTGTCTCCCCTGTCAGCTGTATCCCCTTGTCTAGTTCGCGTCTCTGTGTATCCTTAGTTGCTATATCCCCGTGTCCAGTCAGTGTCTGTGTCTGCCCTGGTCCCACGTCTGTTCCCTCTGTTGTAGTGCCTACATGTGAGTCTGTGTCTTTTGTTCAGTCTGTGTTATGGGTTTCCTGTTTTACTTTGAAAGTCCATGTCTGATGTTAATGTGTCTGGTTTTGCTTCCCCTTGTCTCGTTGGGCCTGATTTGTCCCAGCTGTGTTTCCCTCCTGTTACCCATTCCCTGATTGCTCCCTCTGTGTATTTGAGCCCTGTGTTGATCTACTGTTTACCTAGCTGTGTGTTCTGTCAGTCCTCCGGTGTAAGTTTATTTTGATTTTTGCTGTAAATATGATACCCAAAGAGTTGATGCTGAAATGCAGGAAAGCTTTAATGTGAACTGTTTGCTGTAACAACAGTTATGTTATATTTGAGTTTAACATTAAAGCTGTTTTGAGTTCACATCTGTCTCTGGATTCTGCACCTTGGGTCCTATTCCTGTCTGCACACAGCCTACACATAACAATTATTAGTGCATCTCAGAACATTAGAATATTGTAAAAATGTTTGTTATGTCCCCACATTTAGTTCAAAAAGGCAAGCTTTCATTTATTATATATGCATTACATGTAAGGTGAAATATATTCTTTTCTCTGTTATAATTTATATTATTGCATTTTTTTGACTTACAAAAATCTTTTGAGTTTGAGTCCACCAGTATCAATACTGTGTCTAGTTCAGCACATGCAACCACTGTTCAGTAGCTCAGCGATCTTCCCCAATCATGAGGAAGACTGCTGACTTGACAATTGTCCAGAGCCACAGAAGGTCATTGCTGCATAGACTGTCTGTCGGGAAAAAGTGGACAAGCAAAAAGGATGACCAGTCTTCAGATTGTGTGTTAGAAGAGCTTTGCAATCAGTGGACTGTAGCTGGTGTTAGTGCATTAGGAGGCACCACAAGCAGACATCTTTAGGAATAGCGGGGAACAGTCACACACTAATTTTTAGCACTTCATTTTGAAATTAAGGCCGTAGAGCACACGAGTCACATACAACTCACTTTGATCTTAGGTGCGATGGCGCAGTGACATTACAGGATAAATGTGCAAAATTACAGAAAGAGTTTGGGTAGTTTATTGGCCAGGCTGTCCTGTTTTGTTTTTTTTAATCATTAATTTACAGAAATGTTACTTCTGTGAATTATTTTACTGTGGACTCACAGAAAAATAAATGAAAAATTAAAAAAAAAAAAAACTTACATGATTTAATTTAATAATTTGGTGTAGTATTAATGGTATTTATTTTGGGCGGTGGTGAGGTCTTTACCAATAGGAAAAGCTTTCAAACTAAAAGTTCAAAAACTATCCTCCACTTAATGTTTTCCAAAGTCTTTGCTGGGCTGATCCTGCTCCCTGGGCCTTATAGTTGTTTGGAGGAAGAGTGGGAGAGGCACAGAATCCAGTGGGAAGTTTCCACGGTCTGTGATGATGCTGATGTTGTTGGTGGCTGGCCCACTGTGTGTTATGAAGTCCAAAGTCAACACAATCGTCTCCATGGTTCCATCTGCTGACATGCTTTATGGAAACGCAGATCTCCTTTTCCAGTAGGACTTAGCATCTACCTCCAGTGCCAGAACTGCTACCGAATGTTGAACACCTTATTGTGTTTCATTGGCCAGCCAGCTCACTGACCTGAACCCTGTAGAGAATTCATCTACAGGGTCAAAGCCACCTGGGCTTCAATAACACCTCAGCAGAGCCACGATGCACTAATGCAGCAGTTCTTGGTAAAGGAGTCCAAACAAAAAACTGAGTAGAAGTGAACAAACTTTTCAAGAGAAAAATAGTCTGAAAAACTGGATTTCTGATTTTCATGAGCTTACATGAAGATCATCAAGTTGGGGGGGGAAAAAGATTTGAAATATTTCACTTGAAGTATGACGAATATATAAGGTATGAAGGCTTACATTCTCTGACGCACCGCAATTTCCCTGTGAAATGAACAAATGTTCTAAAGGGCAACATGTCATTGTAAAAGTGAGACATACTTTCCACACACTCACTGAGGCTCAGAATAGCAACATTATAATCTACATGTAACCCAACAATGACCCTTTGAAAGCAAATAGACACCCATTTAATACACCCACACACCAGCTTATACATAAAGTGCCAATATAAGCATTTTATTTCTATTGAAAAGAAAATTACAGTGACAATCAGGGTCCTTTAATAGGAAGGGCTAAATGGATTGTCATGGCAAAAAAAAAAAAGAAGAAGAAGAAAAAGGCAAATGCTGAGTGCAAATGTGCCACACTAGTCACGACGTGATTGGGCTGAAAACTCTCCACAAATTACTGACGATTGCTCGGCTTGGATATAACGAGGCGGTGATGGCCAACAGCCTGCGCTGGAGTCACTCTAAAATAAGACATGCACCATTAAAATAAAGTAATCTTTTTTCCTATAAAAGTCATTTCAAACGTTTGAATAGAACATAAAGTCCTTGGCGGCAAAACTGAAAATATCATTACAGATTAGTTTCTTTGCTTACTGGATTTCTCGTCGGTGCTTTGGAATTAACCTCCTGAAGTGGCGCCAAACTGCACAGCCCCCCCGTCAATATTTCAGAGCAACGTATATCTATATGTTTCTTTCAATGTAAACAAGTTAAGGCCAATATTGTCGTCAACAGACAATACATTTATAGTAGCAAACAGTTTTAACAGTTGATAAATACGAAAAGCTACAACAGCAGAATCTCTCATTAGGCTCATTTCACTACACTTTCCCACAGCACGCGTAAAGGCTGGAAATTTGGGACACTTTCCGACTTACACTTTCTTTACCTGACACCTCCTAAAGATCTTCAAGCTTTTTTTTTAGTTTCATTTCCCCTAAGCCACCAACAAAATCTTCCACAGATTGAAACTTCACGCAACAGAAGCAGCTGCGTAAGACTTGGTGGGACAATCGTTGACATTCTCTCAGAGCTGTATTTTGGCAGGATATTTATGAGAGGATACAGAGAAGGAGAATCTCTGCATAGGCTGAGCTCCAGTGCTACTGAGGACTGCTGTGGTGGGGACACTCGCAAGCCAAAGTAAGAGGTAGGGTGGGGGCTACAGTGGGTTGATAACTGTTGTGTCATCTGCGTGAAAGATCACTTTGAAGACGTTTAACAAATGTTGGTGGCTCTGAGTAGAAGTCGGTGATGGAGGGAAACAAAATTATTTCCTCATATGCATGATCTCTCGTTAACTGGCGTACAGAGCCCAACTGGTATCTGACTTAACTGATATTTTTAGACGACACTCACCTATTACAGATATCTCAGTATCAGTATGATATGTGCAGTAACCTTTGTTTTTTTTAAATATTACTGTTTCTTTAAGGAAAATAATGGAGAAAGGGATGTGTCGGGCAATTACGGCGACATTACAGAGTTTTACACACTCCCATTCTTTTGCCTTTAATACAATGCCATATTGCACCTCAGCAGATCTGAATTAACAACAAAAGCAATTCCTCCTCTAATTTGACACATGTATTTATATGCTGTATATGTAGAATACATATACATAAAAAAGCAACCCATCAGGAACAAATCGGCCTCTACAAAATATGGTGAAGTTTTTTCATTTTGTAATATGGAACAGGCTTTGCTGGTACACTTTTATCTATCATTTAGACTTACATTTGAAATGTCACACTAAATTGATTATTATATGCTGATGTAAAAGAATCCTGCTAAAGGTAAACACCACCTTTTCGGATATGCAAACTTAACTCTGTTGCAGTGATACTCTAACTTTGGGAGCAGCCAGGTTAAAGATACAAACTAAAACTAACTTATATAAATGTGATTTGTTTTTTTTTTAGGGAAACTGGACAAACTGAAGGTTGATGACTCTTGTGCTGACCAGTGTTTAAGCTAAATTAAAGCTGGACCCATTTTGATTAATGATTGATTTAAAAGGAAAAAACAGTCATGGGGCATTGGCTTCTTAATCAAGGCATGCTATAAGAAGTTTGAGACTTCAGAAAAACTGGATAGGTGATGATGGTATGTCTTGCTTGACTGAAAATTAGGCAAACATCCACTAGAGGGTCTACTTGGCCAGGGTGCTGTTGCATTGCTTTGTTGCCATATAAAAGTGTTGTGTTGGCAGAGCCTCCGCAGCAAAGGCTCTGTCTGTGCCAGAAATGTTTGGGAGGTGTTGAAGTATACAAAGTTGGCAACGTGATCACTCACCGATTCTTACCAGTGACGTGAAAAAGACAGAGATGGAGTCACGCTGAGGCAACGAAGGGCACGCTTTGGTGAAAGTGATACGGACAAAGAGAAAGAGAGCTTTACAACACGAAGGGAAGGACACAAACACAAAGACACATCAGTGAACGTCATGACAGAAGCGGGGAGGATCACTGAAGGAGACAGGCACATGAACATAGCATTTTTCATAAAGCCTGAACTCGAATGACTTTGGAAACTAGAAAAGTAAAAAGGGAAAAAAAACAAAAGCAAAAGATCAAAACTGACATTGAAAATATGCATCAATATAAAAAAAAATCCACAAGAATAGCAGAAACAGGATAACACTTCAGAAGTCTTAGCTGTGTCGTGAGAAAGAGCTGTGATTCTTTGATTCTCCCTGTATGTAAAGTGTTTGCTTCCTTCATTGCATTGTATCTCGCCAGATAATTGTCCAGCAATGGCTGTGTAAACAAAACCTCCAAAAAAGGTGTGTGTGTGTGTGTGTGTGTGTAGTAGATATATATCTGCAAGTGTGCATCAAAGGGGTTTGGCTGAGCACAACAATGCTAGTTCCTCTTCCGTTTATTCTGCGATTGGACTGCTGGCCCAGTTAGAGCTGTGGTAGGCTGGTTAAACCCTTAGCCATCAGATCGCCATGTCTGGTGCGCCTCCACTTCCTCTGAGACGACTAGCAGGAGTTCACAGTTCTTCCCTCGTAGCTGCTGGTGGAGAAACTTCCTGAGAATGTGATAAAAATCAAACAAAGAATTACATTTTTTAAAATTAAAGTGAAAGTGATTAAAGTGAAACAACAACAACAAAATTAACAAGGTGTACGCTGATGTAAAGCTTCAATGAATTATTTTTTAGCCCAGCAGAACAAGTTGTAAACCACAAACTGGAGATGTAGTGATAGACCAGCATGTTTGGCCCTAACCAGTGACCCGCCAGTCAGCTTCACATACACTACCGTGAAAGGTTTTAGAACACCCCAATTTTTCCAGTTATTTATTGTAATTCAAGTTGTTCAGGTTCAGTGAATAGCTTGAAATGAACTGCCAGAGGTTAAAAAAAAAAAGTAAAGGTTACCCAAAACTAAAGAAATAATGCAATTTTTCTTAAATGAATTATACTAAAAGGCCTTTTTCATGGAACATAAAATGGGTTAACAATTTAAACTGTTCTGCAGCCTTGAAACCTGGTGTTCCAACCCTCTGTCTACATAAACACTGGAACACACTGGATCCATACCCTCTTGAGCATCGGTTGAACAGTATTGCGCTGCATAAAATAGTGTGTTGCTACAAAAATGGTGAGAAAAAGGCAATTAATAATGGAAGATGTCTGGCGCACCCAAAGCCACACCTGAATCAGACGACAAGTTTCTGAGAGTTAACAGCTTGCGTGATAGGCGGCTCAGAGGACAACAGCTTCAAGCACAGCTTAATAGTGGTCGTAGTAAGCAAGTCTCAGTCTGAACTGTGATGAGGAGACTTCGAGCGGACAAGTTGCAGCAAGAAAACTATAGTTAAGACGTCAGAATAAGACAAAGAGGTTTGCCTGGCCATGAAACATTGCCAATGGACCACTGAAGACTGGAAGATGGTATTATGGACTGGATCAAAATTTGAAATCATCACACAAGATATTTGTACGGCATCAAGTAGGCGAAAGGACAACTGTCAAACATGGAGGAGGAAGTGTGATGGTCTGGAGCTGTTTTGCTGGACCCAGTGTCGGTGACTTGTACAAAGGGTGTTACCACAGTGCCATGCAGTACCCTCTGGTCAGGGGTTCATCCTACAGCAAGATGATGACCCAAAACATAAGTCCAAGGTATACCAGAGCTACCTCAGGAAAAAAGAACAAGACGGTAAGCTTGAAAACATGGAGTGGCCAGCACAGACTCCAGACTTAAAGCCCATCAAGCTGGTTTGGGATGAACTGGACAGAAGAGTGAAAGCAAAGCAACCTACTGCCACACATTTATGGGAACTTCTGCAACAGATATTGTAAGAACTTTCTGAAGAATATTTGATTTCTATTGTAGAAAGAATGCCACGGGTGTGTTCAGCTGTTATATCTGCCAAAGGTGGCTACTTTGATGAGTCAAAAGTTTAGAATACATTTTGGTCTATAAGTTGATTCCATGATATTTTTTTTTTTACTCCAATTGCTTATTTCTACTATGCTTTCATCTTAGAGTGCAATGAGACATTAAACTGCATAATTTTCAATTCTAAAACATTTGACTGGTAGTGTATGTCTGATTAAACTGTGTCTTTTCCATGCATGTTCAACTTGCACATAGAGGCTCAGGCAAATAGTCTTTTGCACATTTACAACCACATGCTAACATGTTCTTTTTTTATCTTTATATTTTTAGTGTACACTGAGGGTCATGGGAGCATTGCGATTTCAAATTCCTCTACATATGGTCTTCAACAATAAAGCTGACCTTGATTTGACTTTGTTAGTATGTGTATAGAATGGGCAATTTCACCAAGTTTGTCAGAGTAAACCACGGTGTGCCCACCACGAGACTGCTCGTAACAACAAGCCTAATCAAACGCTTGAATTACCCTTGACCAGCTGAACATGGACATTTTAAAGAAGCTAACAAAGGAAAAGTGATTAAAGTGAAAGCTATCCAGAGCTTAGAGTCAGCCTCGGTATGATCAGTGAAAAACCCCCAAAAACATTAAAGCAGCCAACAAGGAAAACTTGTTTGGTTAAATGTATAATATATATAAATATTTGTTTTTGATATATACATATCAATAACATATCAAATATATCAGGTAAAAGTGGGTGTACAACAACCCATTTTAAGTTGTTTATTAGTTAGTTATTTGTACCTCTTCTTAGTAGCAGGGCTCTTTATTTTTATTGCTTAGGGGAGAGAAGATCCTGCAACGCGTGCACCAGGTATAGCGGAATGGTTCGGTTTGTCCCCAGTATACCTTTTTTGCTTTCTTCTGACCACTACTCATGCTAGGGCCTTCATCTGGGCTGGAATTTTCTCCAGGACGCAGGTCAGATTGACTATGTTTTCTTTTAAAATATTTATCTATTGCTATTACACGCTGCATTATCTCACATGACTATTATGTCATTTCTTCTGTTTTACTGGCAGTTGGCAGCCCATTTAATTAGAGCAGGAAGTTGTACTGCCCTCTAGTGGAAGAGAATGTACCTGTTCTGCCCGATCGCTTTGAGCAGCGGTCCCCAACCCCCGGGCCTCGGACCGGTACCGGTCCGTGAGTCGTTTGGTACCGGGCCGCGAGAGTTGAGGCTCAGGTGTGAAATGTATGGTTTTCAGGGTTTTCAGCGTTATTTTGTTATCGTTTTTATCGTTAACTCGATTTTCCTGGGTGTTTTCACGTGTGTTGTGAATAAATCTTCTTTTTTCGGTACCAGTACTAGTTTTATTTTGTTGTATTTATCCGCGACACCTTAAAGGCCGGTCCGTGAAAATATTGTCGGGCAGAAACCGGTCCGTGGCGCAAAAAAGATTGGGGACCGCTGGCTTAGAGTACTAATCAGGTGGAACCAGATTATCTTCCACAGCACACCTGATCATTTCTCGCGGCACACAGTGGTTGGGAAACACTGGTCTACAAGACACAGCCCTCTGCCCTGACCTCTGTCTACACTTTCTGATGAGTTTATAATCTCACTCATTCATTTCAGGACATATGTAATAAAACATTAAGACTATATGGTAAAGTTAGGTCATTCTAAGTAAGTAGCATGAGGTTTTATCACTATAATAGATGGCTAGAACATTTTTGTGGATCAACATGGCTGTCTTGGGCCTTTACAGATCCTCGAGTCATCTAGAATCGTTATGAGGTACATTTCGTCATGAGATGATGAGCTTGATGGTCCGTGCGGCTGTCCGCGTGCCTCTATTGTCTACAGATTTTACATTACAATGCAATAACTATGCATGCACCCCAGGCAGCAGACTTCAAAGAACTACAACAGGAATAACTACTCAGCTGTGATGCATTAGTTGTCCATGTACATGCAGAGCATCATCAAGGCTTCACACTTACTTCTAACATGGAGCTAACTGTACATTTCTCAGCTAGATCCTCTCCACTGGCACATCTATTAGTTTTTAAAACTTTATGACAACAAAATTATAAAACAACACAGCTGCTGCTGCTACACATGCACACACTCCCCATCCCTCTCACCTGAGCTCATCCGGATTGCCAATTGGTTGAGGGCTACGTAGCTTGGAGTCCAAGTTGTAGTAGACTCCTCCCACCTCTCTGACGCCTATCCAGTGCTGGCGCTTAAGCGGCAACCGGAGGGGCCCCCAGCGCAGATTGGACGGTACGTTCAGGATGAAGCCCTCCACGTTGGACAGTTCAATATTGCCAACATCCCTAAAAAAAAAAAATTTTTTTAATAATAATAATAACAATAACAACAACAACAACAATAATAATAGTAACACTAATAATAAATATATATTACATGACTATTTGAAAATATTTGTATTTACTTTTTTTAAGGATTTTTTTTTTGGCCTTTATTGGATAGAGACAGTGTAGATTGAAAGGAAAGTGGGGATTGAGAGAGGGGAAGACAAAGGGCTGCGGGTGGGACTCGAACCCGGGCCTACTGCTCTCCAGCCATACAGCATTTTTGTTACCTGTCATTATTTGGGCTTGCATTTACTTGAGCTATATATATATATATATATATATATTTTTTTTTTTTTTTTTATTTATTTATTTTTTTTACATTGAAACTTTCAGCTATGTTCAGGTAAAATGCACTTACAAGTGTAGTCACAACACAAAGGTCCATTCTAAGTCAGGAAGTCCAGAAAAAAAACCCCTGTGATAAACCATCCGCAGTAACAATCACAAGCAAAGCTATTCAGCTATGTACAGGACATCGCAAGAGACTGCGTAGAATACCAGAGAGAAGCATTCTTGCAGCCAGAAGTTTAAACAAACCAGGGAGGCATATCCATTTTCAAATGAAACAAACAGGTTATATGGCACACATGCTTACGGCACTTCAAAGCACTCTTGATTTTTTATCAGTTCCCATTGATGACTGTAACGAACACTGTGTAACGAACACTGTGTAACTCAACTGCGTTGACCTTTGTGCAGTTTGTGTAGCGACATGTGTTGCAAACTTTGCATCTGTCAAAATTCAAAACTGTCATTAACTGGCAAACGAAGACTGAAGTGGAGACTGTGAAGTTTTAGTGCTTGAATGCCTGCCACACCTACGCTTCAGTATCAGAGCACACTTCTAAACACAGTTGACTGTACACTGATGATAATACTACACGAGGACAACGATCAACCAATCAGATTTAATAAAAACTCAGAGTTTGTGGGTTTTCTGCTCCAGAAAGAGAGCTAACTTAAACTCGGGGTCTATTATTGGAGTAACAGACTCTGAGACCGCTGGCAGGTTTTCTTCAACAAACTCTGAGCACATACTGAAATGTATTAATTTAAGAAGTTTACAAATATTATAATCCCACTGATATGTTAGCTTAGTATTTGTTCTATTTAACCTGAGTGCTTATATAATTGATCTTTTCATCTGTGATTCTGTGGACAATAAGTCATCTCTGAGGCTGTCTGGTGAGGGTTCTCGTTGAGGGACATTCACATTTCTGGATTAAAACGAAGGCTCTGCGTTTTCTTTACCCAATGCTGGTACCTTTTTTTTTCATTACACATGCTGAACTGCTAGAAAAAACCTCAAGAGGTTTTTTTTAACCTGCTCTGTGGATCAGGGCACCAGATTTCCTTGTCTTATCAATCACTTGTCCTCTCATAAGTGACCTTATTATTTTGCTCCCTTCCAAAAATAAATGATATTTATAAATACTCCAGTTGTGGGTTGGAGCTTTTAAGCACACTTTTTTCACCGTGGTCCAAATACTTAAAAATATCTTGGCTGCAAGTGTTTACCGCATCAAAAATCCCCTGTGAGTAGAGTTATAAAAACAGCCTCAGGTCACAGGAACTTCATAAACATAACCAAAGAATAAAAAGAAGTCATGTCTTCTCTTGTCGAGAAATCCAAAATGAGAGAGCGCTTAAGTGCTAGTCCATTCATCGCGTTGTTTTCTCGCCTCAGTCTCCGGTTAACGTGCCAGCAACCGAATGTTTACAACATGTAAGCATGTAAAGCCTTAGTTACATGCAAAAAAGAGGTGAATCTCCACTGTGTTATGCCAAACAACAGCGCGCATCTGCAGAGCTCAAAAAGAGAAAAACAGGAATGGGTTTTATCGATATAGCAAGTCTGTGTTTGGTGCTGCTGTCAACAGTCATGTAAGACTGATAATGAAGGAAGAAGGAATGCTGATAAAACCGACTCAAACTTTATCAACCACAGGAAGCACTGACTAATCACAGGGATCACTCAGGACCCTGCTGATGAGGTGGCTGAGGTGGAGATGAAAACAAGGGGTGCCTCCTTTTTAGTATTGACAATATATGTGCACTCTAGCGAGATAAGAGAGGAACAAGTGTAAACAAGTACAGATAAGCAACAATAGACTGATTGCTTTTCTTTGGTTTGGGTTTCCTCAGCCTAACATTGACTATTTTGGGAAACAATCAGGGGTAGAAGTCATGAGGCAAATTGCAGTTACAACTTAAGCAAATGGAAATAAATCTATTAAATCAATACTTCTACTAGATTAAATATGATTTATCCATGCTAAGGCTTCTTTTGTTGCTACTCCTACATACCTTCTTTTATCCCACCAAACTGCCTCAAACCCTCGGGTCTGCAGGGCTGCCATAATGACATTGACGTCATAGTTCCCGTTTCCCAGCATGCTCTTTTTGTGAGGCGTCACCATAGTGCTGGGAGAGAGCCTGCAACAAGTTGACAAAAGGGATCGTCCACAGATCACTTAGTCAGATTGTATTTACGAAACATTTTATGCACACCTTAACACTTTTAATCCACATACTGTCTCACCTCTGGTAGATCTCCTGCAGGGTGTCCCGGCTGAAGGCTGTCCCATCCTGGAAGACGTTATTGAGTGCGTGCAGGGCACACAGCTCCCGCCGTTGCTTTTCGTGATAAATGGCCGGAGGCACCAAAGAAGCTTGGGGAGGAGCTGGCGAGGTGAGTGAAGAAGAGGACGATGAGAGATCTTGCTGCTGAGTTTCCCTGGGATCCCTGGACCTCTTCTCCTCTGCTCCCACCACCGCCTCCCCTCCTCCTCCCCCTCCACTTCCTCCACCACCTTTCTGTTTGCTGACCTTCCAGGGCATGCACCCCAGCTCCTGCAGGCTGCCTCGCCCCTTCCCCTTCCACTCACCGGCTGGATACGGAGCACTTCCCATCCCTGGATGTTCACCACCGCCAGCGCTGTCGCCGCCCCCACCTCCACCGGTACCTCCTTCAGCTCCACAACTACTAATGTCAGGACACTACATGAACATCATGACAACCATTTGCGTGATAACCTCTCAGCCACTTGGAAGAGAGGAGCTTGTATCTGGAGGGAGGGTAAATGAGACCTGTGGCTCTCAAACACCGCAAAACCTTCTTTCTGTCTCTTTCCCACTAAAGGACAGATGTGCAGAAAGATCGCTATGAGTGACCAAGTATAACCAGCAAAGATACTCTAGATGCTCCAAAATGACAGACTAGTCCTCCAACAGCACAGCGGTGTCATCAATCATAGTGCCGTCACTCTTTGCGTTTTCCACTTCCTCCATCCTCTATGTGCTGACAGCTCTTTCCATCTAAAGCCTATAGCTTAGCAGGTCTTTCCATCCTCCAAGACTTGCTGACGGCAAAGCTACAGTTCCACAGGAACAGAGGAGTCACACACTGTGGAGAAAAATACAGTCAATAAGCAACTGAAATGCAAAAAATAAACACACTGTATTAAAACGGAAAGGAAGGTCACGTGTTTTTCCTCATAATTTAGCTATTACACATAATAACACAAGTCCCCAAATCACACCTCGGATATGGTTGGTTAAAGAATAGCTGCCAAATCGGCCTAAACAACACGGTGAAGCACCACTGAATACGCTGTTACATTATTTAGAGCTTCAGTTGGTCAGCAGAGCTCAAATGAAGGGAAGGTAAACATTTCGAGCAGCTTTGAACTGGATAGAGGAAGCAAGCTGTTCACTGAGCTAGCAACATTTGACAAGAGCTACACGTTAATAATGTGAAGCTTACACAGCGTTAAGGAGACATAGCAAATATATTCCCCTAATAGCAGGAAAAGAAGGTTTTAATCCGTGTTAGCAGATATCTGGCGTTGTTCTTACTGCTGCTCTACGTGACTCCGTGTCTCCAGCAAACACAACCACAACGCCTCCTTTTATGATTTATAACTTCATTTTCTCTCGCCGACCACTTCCCCGCCCGTTACCTGCCGCTGGTGTCACAGCCGGGCTGCCGTAAACCGGTCTAAAACCCGAGTCTCCTCTATCCTTTCCCCCCTAAAGGGTGCTCAGACCTTTGTCTTTGCCACTTTTTTCCTGTTGTGGCTCTCTCCTGTCTCTTTCTCCGTCCGTGCAGTCGCGGACATGCGCAGTAGCGCCTCCCTGGCTCCATATTGCTGTCACCGCCTGCGTCAGTAGACTGGAGCAGATCCTCCCCTGAGACTGCCAAAGCCTACCTTTCCCACTTTGTTCTCACCTGTAGTGCGCTTTTCATCACAATACTGCTGCACAAAGGGTTTAAATACGTATGAAAATATGTTTTACCATAGGAAACATCACCTGCTGTCTTCTTAAAGCAGTTCCAACTCTTAAACTTTACTTCATGAATGGGTCATACAAATGAAGACTGCTTTAGCCTCCTTTAGCTTATTGTTTAGCTTTGTCATTTTTGATTTAGTCTCACAACATAAAATTTGCCAGTCTGTAAATACTTAAGCTGCTTAAAAGTTAGATATTTTCCACTTGGTGGGAACTTAAAAGAAAAAAAAAAGTCTATTTCAGTTAAACAAACTAATGCCATATGCCTATGTTATTGTTCACTGGTTGAGCAAATTAATAGGACGGCTAAGTTTGAAATTTGTTTTTGGTACAAAATCTTCCCAAGAGGTTGATTCTGTTCATCTGGACGTAGCGTTTTCAGTGGGAGAAACGTCTCAGCTGACTGCAGTTTCCCCCAACCTTATAAACAGTACCTTTTCACAATGTCTGCAACTAGCACCACTGAATGAACAATGGGCTGTGAGGTCAGTTCCTTGATCACTGGCTGGGGAAAACTTGCAGTCAGCTGAGACTGAAGAAGTAAAATGAATGAGCGACGAAACGTTTCTCCCACTGAAAACGCTGTCCAGATGAACAGAATCAACTTTTTGGGAATTCCTTACCGGGATGATCAAGCATGCATCAAGATGTTACAAAAACTTGATAAAAAGCATAACAATATCCAAATTGCTGTGTTGGATTTCAAATGAAATGAATGTTTTCACATTATGAGAAGCAGATATCCGTTTAAACCCACAGTCATTAATATGTTGGGGAGCTCAAGTTGCACAATATGTGCAACAAATTAACAGGAAACAATTGATGTGAAACACAACACTGCCGCTGAAGCAGTCTTAACATGATGGCCTTCTTGTGTTGTCCTTCATTAAAGAAAAGTGAGAGAACTGTCTCACCCCTTTATTTATTTTACTGACATTAAAGGGACACAGGAGTTTTCTCTCTTAATTTAGCATTTTGATTTGAAGCTACTCTTTCGCAGTCACCACCAAGCACCAGGCGTCAAACCAACATTTATGATGTTAAACACATACCAGTTCAACTGTACCTCAAAAAAACCCACCAAAGGACGCCCTCTCTAAAGTAAAAGCAGCGCAGACAGTGTGTTGCATTGTCACAAGAATTTGCATAGTCAGTTGGTGAAGCAGAGGACACCTTAATATATATATTTTCATGCTTCCTCCTGATTTGCATATAAACTGCTGGAATTGCAGCTCACACTACACCCATTAGAAAGCTGATCAGTTCATTTGTATATTTGCTTATCACCGAGAATAGCCAATAAACACAGTTTTCACTTTATACGTGTTGTTTTGTTACTCTTTATAGAATTTTATCAGAATTCTTACAGAATTTTATCATCTGTTCCTCTGATAATGTTTGATTAAAGCGGAGGGCAATCCGTTAAGTTTGTGCTGCAGGAAGAGTGAAGTGATGTGTGAAGGAGAAACCCTGAGTTAACAACCAAAGTTTTTTTGTGATAAAATGTTTATTGTGTTTAGAGAAATGTAAAAATATAATAAAAGAGTAAGGGAAAAAAGAAAGAAGGGGGAGAGGAACAGACAGAGAGGCACTGAGTACAATAAAGACTTCAAATTCTACGCAACATCTTCTTTAGCTTTGTGGGTTCAGGCTGCAGTTCAAGATAAGCAACATCCATGAAAATGAGCAACCACTGCTGCCAAGTGAGCAACTGAAGCTTCCTCCGTGTGGAAATCAACTTTGTAGCAGCTATTAAACCAGCTAAAAACACACTTTTCTGAGCCTCATGCACTCTTAATTGACACAAATCCCTTAAAATTGAAAAAAATGGGGAAATGGAACTGAAATATGTTATAAAGTAGAAAGATTTTCTTTAAACATTTCCAAAACGTGGACACTCCAGGACTTTCCTATGCCATGTCATAAAAGGTGGGTTGGCAAAGTCAGCCTTAAGTTTCATACTATAAAATCTTTGTGAAGTCATATATGTCCTATGTACAAAATAAAGAAATGTATTTGTTGATTATTAGGGTTCCTGGAAGACTGTTTAACGATGTCCCAAACACTGTCCCAGTAAAACTAGTGCTGAGGTCCTAAATATCTGTGCACCATAATGAATCCACTGGCAATGGAAGGTTTGTTCCTTTTCAGTTTCATTTGGAAACTCTATGACCGTACCATTGACTTTAACAAATGAAGTCTGGCGACACAGATCAGGTGTCTATGTTGTGAATTAGTAACGGTAATATACTGAGTTCTTCACCTGTAAATACAGACCTCATTGTCTGCTGGGTGAATGACTTGGCATTTACTGTAAAAGTCAGTTTCGAATGTCTGTTTTCGAATTTGCATGTGTACTGTGGAATAACATTTGTGCTTCTCCTCTTGCTTTTTAGCTTTGCTGATTTTGTATTCAGAGAGGATATGAAAATGAGAAATGCTACAGAGCAAAGAGCAAGCAAATTTCCAAGAAGTGTGTACGTGTTATACAGTTTTAAAAGAAATACATACAAATAAATGTAGACTTACAATAGGTGAAGGTTAAGAACTTGAACCTGAGGCACAGGTAAAAATGAAAGACTGAGAAATGTTCGAGAGAAGGAGGGAGGCAGAGGAAGCGGCAGCCTCCTCTGCTCTTCAGTTGCCCAAACACTTCTTATTCTTGTGAATCCAGCTCCACAAACCTTAACTGTCATCTTTCTTTTTCTTCTTCAACTCGTTTTCTTTATATTCTTTCTTTTTATTACTATGCATTCTTTTATCTTTTTTCTCCTTGTGCTCCACCTCCATCTGTTCTATCGCCATTATTTTGAAAACCCTGGAGCATTTTTTTTGGGATGTTCTTTCTTAAGCAGCATTCCTGCAGCTCTTGATTCTTCTGCTCCAGGTTTTCCTTCTCCTTTTCAATTACTTCTTGTCATGCTCACGTTCTTTCTACCGTACGTTCCCGTCTTCATATTTTTGCTGCAGTTCCTTATACTTTTCTCTCACTTCTTTATTCAGATGCAATTCTTCTATCTGCCAGACGTTTTTGGACTAACACATTTGCTGTAACAAATCCCCTTCTGTGTTTTATATGTATGCTTTGGATCACTATCTGCTTGGCCGAATGGCAGCATTTGGCAGAAAGTATTTTGGAAGACATCCAGGTAAATATTTCCATGTACTGCATAGGTGATGAAGCGGACGACACATTGACAGACAGCAACAACATGCTGCAATCTAAAGCCCAAGGACAGGACAATCACATTTAAAATTGACACTGGTGCCGATATGACTGTCATTCCTGACCATGTATTCAATGTGATGTTCACAGATATAAAACCAGCTCTTTAGAAAGAAAAGATGCCCATACTTGTACAAGGTTTTATACCACTGGGCATGCTAGGGTTCACAAACCTAACACTACAGAAAGGAGAGAAACCAATATTTGTGATCAGTAACCTGCACTCTCCTGCTCAGGGCTAGCGGGCTCAGCTAGTCGCTAGTGGCTAACAGCCCCAAGTCATGAAAATGTATCAGGATGGATGACCAGAGAGCAGATCATTAAAGCTTGGTAAAGCTGCACTGTGCAGATGCCTCCTTTGTTGTGCATGATAACCTCTAGTTAAAAAGAGCATAATTGGTCATTCCTGCAGCTTTAAGAAACAGTGTCCTCAGCAGGCTACATGAGGGGTAGCTAAATGCATGCAGAACATGTGTGAGCCAGAATGAGCTATTGCTCCCAACAAATCTACTGGAGAGACCCAGGTGAGGGCAGACCTGTTTACAATCAAAGGGAAAATGTACTTGCAGGTAGTGGACTTTTGAAATGATATCTGAAATGGCCAACCTCCACCAAATATAGTTTCCTGATGTCACTGTCCATCTGAAATCCATGTTCGGATGTGACGAGGTGCCTGAGATCTTAAGGACTGGCAATGACCCACAGTTCTCAGCGGATGATATGCCAAACTTTGCTGATACATACAGTTTCAAACATGTGATCAGCAGTGCACAGTACCCACAAACCAACGGGGAGGCTAAACAGGCTGTTCAAAAAGACCAGATCAGTACTTCTGCATATCTTGTCGTCTCACTTACAAATGTGTTTTAGCCCAGCTCAACGTTTGATTTGGTGCCAGCTTGGTTCCACTGTGCTGACCCAGCAGTGCTTCCCGACAGCGCAGCGGTCACTGTAAAGGACAAAGAGAGAATGAATTCACATCAGAGATTCTTCAACAGGCATCACTGTGCACAGGAGTTCAGTTATCCCCCCACGTGGGAACAGGCGTGGTTGAACTGCACTCTAGTTCCTTCCCTACAAAAACCAACACCCGGAACTTTTCCAAATAGCCCCACAGTCATAACCAAGTCAGGCAGAGCAGTTTTGAAACCACAGGACTGGACTGAACTTGTAGACAACTGCGCAAACAAGAGTTTATCCTTAGTTTGAAAGATAGAACTCAGTGGGAAAGCTACTGCATTATGATGAAACTTGGGCTGTTGTTGGGCTGTTGGGCTAAAAAGTTTGTTATCTTCAAAAGAAACAAAAGAACAAAGCAGCGTTCAAGTTAAGAATCTGTTCAACAGTAACCAAATCCAAAGTCAAATATTTTATGTTCTCCTTAAAAAGGGAGCTGGTGAGATGTTGGTTATGTAAGGAGGCCCAGAGGATTTTGGGTAACGTTGTTTTTGTTGTAGTAGGGGGCTCCAGTTCTAGTAGCCTCACATTGCAGGAATGAAGGGAGCCTTATACAGTGAAAACCTATAAAATATAAACTCAAGACTCTGAATCAACTTCATATATTATGTCTGCTTCATTTGTCATGAAATAAC